ATCTGTTCCAAAGAACCTTATATATTAATATAACTACTGTATTAATGGTGGTTTTTTTTGTTTTTTTTAAGAATCCAGGACTGCAGGAGATTGTACAGCATTGTTAAGGTGTACATAATTTTAGTCCAGTAAAAAAGATTTACAGCAAAGTAGTTTATCCATCATGTTCTGGAAATAAGCACTAATTACATTAGTGATAAATATGAACCTACTTTGCTGTAAATGCATCTGTGCTACAGGCTAAGTTTTGAACAGTAATCATATTTAACTTTGACTAATTTCCTGTAGGAAAGAATCCATTTGCTAACCATTGCACTACTTTCAGAAGAAGTTTCATGCTACTGATTTTTATTTACATTACTTAATACATCTCCTCAAACATAGTCTCTATCAGTAGGGAAAATTCAATGCAATGCTTTTTTGACTCCTTTTATCTGCCCTAGAATATATTACTAAGTAAGTATTTTATATAAAAAAATATTAAGAAGTGTTTCTACCCTCTTGGTAACTGAATCTTTTACTGCACATTCTAGTCCCTTCCTCCCTGTAAGGCCTATGGAAGATGTTTTTACGTTTTAGTGTAAATGTAATGTAGTGTTTGAAAGTAAATAGAATCATATCAGCACTAAGGAAATAATTTTTGATTTCTCTAAAGTCCTCTAAAGATGTAGCAAATCATGCAAAATTTTGGTTTTCATACTTAGTTGGTTTTCATGACTTGGTAAGTACAGTAACAATAATCTACTAGCTTTTCACATCTACAGAATCTCACCCAGATTTCTTACATCGAAAGCAGACAGCAATATTTTCCACTTGGTCTTTTTTTAAATAGGAATGTTTTAGAACTTGCTTATCCATTCCAAAGTAAAAGACTGCAAACCTATTCCTTCATAAGTTGTATTGAATAAGTAATGTCTGTCAAAAATTAAATGGTTTCTGGGTTTAGAAAGTGGTTGAAGGCATTTAACCCTAAAATGCATATATTTCTGCTTCAGCATATATTCCTCACCTGTCTTGGCAAAAAAATTCTGCAATGCACTGCAATTTATGCAGTTTTTGGAAGACCAAGATTATGTGGGACTTGACACACACAGGTCACATGGAATTCATAGATCAGGGGAAGTGTTTATTGCCCACCAGCTCAGCACTCCCCACTCACCACACATGGAACATTTCCTGTGGTCCTGGAGCCCCTCTACAGGAAAGGTGTTGATGAGCATGAGTGAGCTCAGCATAGCACCATGAAGATGGTCAGAGGGCTGGGAGATTTAGCCTAGTGAGGGAGGCTGAGTGAGCTGGGTTTGTGCTCTGCACCAGGGGGTGCAACAATAAAGAGGGTGGTATAATAGCTGTTTTCTTAACGTAGGGTAAACCCCAGAAATATGGATAGTGAGGAAATCTTAGGTCTCTTCCAATGCTGGGAACTCCATTTGTGTGCAGCATCAGATCTTCCCCTGCACAGATGCCATCTGTGGAAGAGTTTCTCCTTCTTCCCACAATGTGGAGCCTTTTCTTTTGTGCAGCAAACAATCACATGTATTTTCTCCTGACAGGCTGGGATGTCATATCATTCAAAATATTCACCACTGTCAGCAAAGGCTTTAAGTACAAGGCTCAGTAGAGCAAACATGTCCTGTTCAAGATCAATAACTGCTTGAATACAACATTTTCCATAATGCTCTCAATGTATCTTGCTCAGCCTGGAGAGACAGCTTCAGAGGCACTAACAGTGCCCCTGCAGTGCCTAGGAGGATGCTGGCAAGAGGTCCAAGCTGGGCTTTTACTTAAGTTGTGCCAGAAGTACGAGAGATGGGGAGGGTCTGGTGACACATAACAAAAACTTTTTCACAATGAAAATAAGCATTTGTAACCAGTTACCCAGGGAGGTTTGGAGTTCTAAGCTCTTGATGGTTTTCAAGACCTGACTGGACAAACCCTGTGTAAAGTGCTCTGAATTCTGTGTTGTGTCTGCCCTGAGCAGCTGTGTGATTCTGAAATTCAGAGCAGATAGCTAAATTGGAGTATTAATCTGTGAGCTGAATCTCTCCCTTTAGCTAACTAACAAAGATTAGATGAAAGTCCACTGAGAAGTTCAGCAGAATTTAATTACAATAATTTAGGAAAAGATTCTAACTTGGACAGTTGCAGTTTGGAATAAAGCAAAGCTGGGTAATGGGATGACATTATATTGGCATAAAATAAGAGCTAAGGCTACTTACACATTTTCATCTGTTAATTTTCTTTTTTCAGCAAATTATATTCCCAGAGTGGATTAAATTTCAATTTAACATTATCCTGACTATCTGCTTGCATGGATGAAAAAGATTGAAAGGGCACAATTATAAAGTTATGAAACCATTAACATATACTGAACGGATTATACGCAAGATGGAATAGAGTCTTAGATCACTAGGACAATTTGTACAGAGAGGGCCACCACCCTTTTTATAAACAGAGTGAAGGCTACTTGTTTCACAGAGTGCTTGCCCTTTAGACTGTGCCCACATGCTGGTCTGACACCTGGGCTGTTGCCCAGACGCTGTGTGCTGTGTGCATGTGTAGACATGAGGAAGAGTTGTGTGTTCCTAGGGGACTTGTTGGACCTTCTAGGTATAGCTGATAAAACACATTTTCCTGAAATATATATCTATCCATACCTTATGCATAGTGAAAAAATCATCCAAATAGGTATGCTATTCTGGTTAATCTTCCAGCAGTATTCCAGAATTGACTCCTGTTGCATATACTGATATTTTTGCATATAATTTCTTGATATTGAAATATAATAATGAAATATGAATTTATGTTTATCTTCCATGCCTGACCCTGAATTTATGTGCTCTTCAACATGTTCCTGTTTTAACCCACTTAATCCTTGCTCTGCCAAGATGTACGTGTTTACATCATACCTTGCTGGAAGAATTAAGATTCCACTTGGCTTTATTAAGTTGTAGAATGCAAATGGTCAAAGTAAATGATTATGGAGCACACAATTGAAACTTAGTCTTCATCAGAAGACAGAACCTGAGATCAGCCCAGCTGCTCTCCAGTGCAGTGTTTGCCATCAGCAGCATTTCCAGGGATTTATTATTTGTAGCCAATTCAATTGCTCTTCAGCAAGTTGCTGGGTGAAGGGAGAGTGAAGGTTAAGGCAAATGCATTTGTTCCCTTATGGTCTTGTTATGCCTATTTCCCACTAATTGAGATAGATTCCAAATTGAGGGGGAAAACTAAAAGAAAACAACCTCAGGAATCTAAGCTTCCTACAAATAGGCCTTAATTTAGGAAAAAAAAACATCAGGTATATTAGATTAAGTTGTTGTGATTCATACTCTTTGCAACACAGTCTTAGAGAAAAGCCTTTGTAGACTCAGGCAGCTGCAGCAGTGTTCAGCCAAGTCTAGATTAGGGATACATACAGCTGCTGTCAGTGGAAAAGTTTCCCGAAATTGTTTAGCTTCCCTGTTGTCTGTTCTCATAGTCTTACCCTTCTGTGAGCTATTAACATCCATTGCATAGTGGCAGATAAGGGGGAAAGAGGGAGTGAAAAGAGGTGATGTAGGTTTTATAAACTTTTGTAGTCTACCTCAGCATCCTGTTTATGAGATTTTCCCTTCATCTGTTTGTTGGTACATGAAAACCTTTAGTGGCAAAGAAGTGGTAGCCTGTCTATGAGCTTCCTGACGTGGTCTTATAATATAGTTGTGATCACAGTGATTAATCAGCTTAGGTGCAGTATTATGTACTATATATGCAGCATGGATTTTGCATTTTGCCTTACTGTTTTCCTCTTCAGAAAGAATGCAAATTACCAGTCTCCTGACTGTAACCAGAAGGATATGAGTGTGCTAGCTTCAAGTAAAATTGCTTACAAATATCTGTTATTTTTCCTATTAAACTAATCAATTCTATTAAATCTCTCTTGTGATTAAGAGGGTAGGCTTAAAGATAAAAAAAAAATTAAATCAGTTTAAATTTTCTATTCTTATTATCTGCCACTAACATTATGCAAAAGTCATATTGGAAAGTTGAAGAAAAATTAATTTCCTGTGTTCATGATATGATTTACTCCACAAAAATGAGAACGTTTAGATACCAAAAAATTACCTCGCAGGCTTTAGCACTATAGTAGAATAGAGAGCTTGGGATATTGTTTCATCATATAGACCTTTTCCTCAGTTGGATTTGCCACTGAATTTTCACTTCATTTTTTTTTTTAAATTAAATTCTCAGTAGACTCAAAGTCCCAATAAAAGTAATTTATTTCACATGTGCTATTTTTCATTTTGCTGAGAAAAAACCTCTGACTCTTGACCCTTTCTTGAAATAAAAATATTATTTTTAGGGCAGTACAAATATTTTTTCTTTTCATTTGAGAACCAGGTGACTCCAAAAAAGAGAAGAAGGAAAAAAAAGGTTATGGAAAAATGCATTTCTTTGTCAGTGCTTCATTTAGGATGTGGTCATGCCCCAGGAGCCTGGAGGTTGTGCTTGAGCTCAGGGACCCAATTTTATCTATGTATAAACCTTCCTCCTGCTTCTCCTGAAGTTTGCTCTTCTGGTTTGCATAGAAAAAATTTTGCAAGAACTCTCCCGAGTAAGGTCATTTGAGTCTGGCCACAGCTATTTACAAGTTTGGGTTATGACTGAAGTGAGTAATTGAATCACGTTGAGCCTCTGAAGTTTGCCTTTTATTTATATATTTCCCCCAATTGTGTGTCTCGGTCTGCCATTGGCTGCTGTCCCTGCAGCCTACCCGAGGGCTCTGCAGTTACATAAGGCTCTGTCTGCTGGGAGCCTATATAAAGCCTTTTTGCATGCCAGCAAGAGACAGAATTTTGTCAGGATCCAAGTACCACTGCTTTAGTTCGCACGAGCAGGAAGATTTGCTTGAAGATATCCTGAAACTCGAACACAGGCTGGTTTGTTTGCCAGCCAGTGCTTCACAGCTGTCAACCTGAGTCGCAAGTGGCAGCTACTGTGAGTAGCTTCTGTGCATTATGAAGAATTTTTCATTTCCTATGCAGGATAGCACACATCAGACCGAGAGTCCTCCTCCTTACAGTTTCCTGAGTTTGACAAATCAGTCAGATCCTATTGGAAGACCAGAAAGAGATGAGCAATTAGCTCAAGTAGAGATTGCTGTACTGGGGGTCATATTTCTGACAGCGTCTGTGGGCAATTTCATTCTCATACTGGTGCTGTGGCGAAGAAGAAAGAAGCTGTCTAGGATGTATGTGTTCATGCTTCACCTCAGCATTGCTGACTTAGTGGTAGCCTTTTTCCAAGTGCTGCCTCAACTCATATGGGATATTACAGATGTTTTCATAGGGCCAGATTTCTTGTGCAGAATTATCAAGTATCTACAATTGCTGGGCATGTTTGCCTCTACTTATATGATAGTGGTCATGACAGTGGACAGATATCAAGCTGTTTGCTACCCTATGGTCACTTTTCAAAAGAAGAGAGCTCTCTGGAACATTCCCATTTGCACCAGCTGGTCCATAGCACTGATTCTTAGCCTACCACAGGTATTTATCTTTTCTAAGACTGAAATATCTCCAGGTGTCTTTGAATGTTGGGGTGAATTTATTCAGCCTTGGGGCCCAAGGGCATATGTGACTTGGATTTTTGTAGTTATATTCTTCATTCCCTCAGCAATCCTTATCACATGCCAGGTCAAGATTTGCAAAATAATCAGAAGAAACATAAATGTGAAAAAACAGAATGAATGTGAAGCAACAAATCAGAATCAAGTCCTGCCATCCCGAGCAAGCAGTGTGAACTGTATTTCAAAGGCTATGATCAAGACAGTAAAAATGACAGTGGTGACAGTTGTTGCATATGTTTTCTGCTGGTCCCCGTTCTTCATTGCGCAGCTGTGGTCCGTATGGTTCCCCAGCATCCTGACCGAAGGTAAGATGCTCTCTCTCCCTCCTCAGACACAGCTGCAGAGCAGGCTAGCACACTGCTGCCGAGTGCTTTATGCTTGCATTTTGCCTTTGTGTAAAGGTTACGTGTGGTCATTTGAGGAGGATTAAAAAGAAATACCTGGATTGGTTATCTGCTGTGTTTAATTAGGTGCAGGAAACTTCCTGTGTTATGTGCTTGAAACAACATGTGTCTATTTTGTGTGTGTGCCTTGAGGGATTAACAATTTATAGATTCATGAACAGCATGGTGAAAAGTATCATGTGCTTCAGCAAAGCCTCAGATTTTTAGAGGTTTTAGATATTATAGCAGCAGTATTCCTTGAGGTGAAAAGAAACAATTGACTATTCAAAGTAATAAAATTATTTCTTATTGACTGTGTGGAATAGTGATGTTATAAGACATCTGATTTTTTTTCTTTTAATATTGAAATCATATTCATGAAATCTCTGTAGTACACTATGAAATAACCAAAAAGTTGTCAACCAGCTGCTTATAAAGAAAAAAAGCAAGCCTGAGAGTTATCAAACACCATGCTGTAAACAATAGTCTTGTCAAACTTATGCTATTGCCTTCTTGTTAGACAAGTTAGACAGACTCTATATGTGACTTTAAATTCACCTATTCTAAATAAAGAGGTAAAAAAAAAGGAAAAAAATATAGTAGTCCTGCCCGATTAAAAGCAGTAGTTTCTGAACTTTGTTTTAAGAATTCTTCCTGTCAGTGTGAATTTGAGTCTTATTTTACATACATTTATGTCAAAATATATATCTGTATTTGTTTAACAGCTTAGAAATTGCTTTTAAAATTAATGCAACTCCATAAGAAAGAGCTGTATGAAACTATTTAACTCTGAATGCATACAATATAGTGTGTTTTATAGCTTCAGCCACTGAAAATTGCATTGAAATGGCAATTTCCTACTATTAGATTAGCTTTAATATATGAATAGATGCAGCAGACTGTAAAATGTGACTTATCTGTAAGAGTGTTTTATTTAGTCTCTTATTCCTTTAACTGTTTTGTTCTAGGTTCGGCATTCACCATTATAATGCTCCTTGGCAATCTGAATAGTTGTGCCAACCCATGGATTTACATGTATTTCTGTGGCCAGATCCCATATTGCACAAATAAGCAGCTGGAGAATACCTCGGCTCAAGAGGAATCGGTGTTCACGGGGAGCATTCATCTCGTAGACAGAGACCCTGAGGAAAACAGTACTTCTGCATAAATGCTGAGAGCTTTTTGTTGTTTTGTTGCATTCCCTCTGTTCAAAAGACACTAATATTTTACCACCATCCCTTATTTTGTGGATAAGGAAGCTGAAAAATTGGTTTTTGTTGTAAAAATAGATTTCTCTGCAGTTCTGTAGCGAATACAGGAAGTTTCTGCGTTGTGCAAGCCTGACTCAGTGCTTCAATCACCGCTGTCTTATCAGAATGAATTCCTGTAAGACTGACAAGGATACATGAAAGTATCTTAGATGTTTTGTGTCCCAAAGTACTTCCCCATCTGTGATTTCGGATTTCTAAGTGGTAAAATTTTATTACTACCTGGTCCAGCAAATTGAAACACAGTTGAAAAGGAACCTGATACAATTAAACTTGAATATGTTTTCAGAGTGAACCATGAATTGTTCATCATTCTGGTGTGATTGGGGTACAGTGACAAATCTTGAGAAGGCAGCACAAAGTCAGAAAAAGCTTTTGCCAGGTCTTACTAGCACTTTGTTGAAATTAACTCTTTATATACATTTATAAAATGCCAAACAGCTTAATATAATTTAAAAAAAATAAAATTATTTGGTGTGCTTGTGACATTGAACCCTTACTTCAGTTTAAAGTTCCATTGTGGATCACAGGTGTCAGCAGCATAGCAGCAGTTCAGGTTTTTTCTCTTCACACCATGGGATTTGATTTTCCATGCATTTCCTGATGTGAAAACAGTTAACTGCACAGCTATGCACACCCCCCCAACACACATATACATACTCTAAATAAAAGGGGGTGCTAAGGGTGTACACTTCCATTTGGCATTCATGTGTTCTAGCATGGGATTTATAGGCAGAGAAACAATTATTATTCTATTCCTTAGTTCCCCTTTAGGTTCAAATTCAAATATTTCCCTTTGCTGTAAAAATAAATCTGCATATTTTTATCTCAAATGCTATTTGGTTGCTGTTTTTTGGGTGTTATATGCAGGTAGCTATTTATTTCCTTTCAGTGTCTGCAATCTGATCAGAGGAATATGGAAGGAATATCAGCAAGGCTCTTTCAAGTGAGAATGGATCTGCATTCCTAGGGACTTTTTGTGGCACTTACGTCTGGTGACATGTAATCTGTCTACATTGTACTGTGTTTCATCACATTTCAGTTTTCTGAGGGCTAGCAGTTTCAAATGTCAGTAGAAAAGCTATACAATTGTGGGGTTTTAATAGTCTTTAAATTGTAGTCAAATAAATATTGTTTTAAAATAAATACTGATCACATTGTGAGAAATTCTGCTGTAGAGTGAATAGTTACACATCAAGTTAATTTATGCTGCTATGACTGCATATTCTGTGATTTCTATTCTCTGTATAGTTAGACCAGATAAGGACAAGAACCAAATATTGCTGTTCTTTATAATGGGAAGAGCTTGTGCCCCAGCCCAGCTGACAAGGACAGGTCTCTGGCTGTTAGGAAGAGGAAGAAGGTGGGTAAAGGTAGATAGATATCAGGATAGACTGGTATTAGAGCCAGACAGGAATGGGAAATTTGTAAATTTATCTATCAGTGTTCTTGGAAGTTGTAGTTTGAGCATTTTGTGCCCTTGTTTTACTCTGTGTTTTGAGTCTTCCTTTGAACTATACATTTTTCAATTCACTGCACTCAGATTTCCAACAGGTACTACAGTATCTCATTAAAAGAGAGGGTTGACTTTAGCACAACTGTAGTCTGGCCAAGGTGTTTATTCTATATGTGGGAGAATCACTAACTCAAATTATGAGTCCCCAGGGGCACTGTGGAAGCCCATAAAAATGAAAAAAAAAAATCCAGCTATCAGATGAAAGCCTTTCTCATCAAAGCCTAGATTCTGTTTTCTCACACAAATAAATTCTGAGTAGAAAAATACCTAGTGTTCCCAGTCTTGAAATGAATTACTATGTTGTTGATGCTGGCACTGTGATACGCTTTCTGGTTATCTGGGTGGAGATTTTTTTTACTTTCCATGGTTTTGTTACTACTTGGGAAAGGCACAGTTCATTAAAAGGAATTAGATTCTTGCTTAAAAATTAGTAGTTTATATTTTGCAGTACAGATAAGAAGAACCAAAGACAATGTAATCTATCAACTCTGTAAAGATTTACGACAGAAAAAAGAAACTACAAAAAAAACTTAGTAGAATGAAAAGAAAATCCCAATGTGTTTTGCATTCTTAACAGTATATTTTGATAATTCTTTTATTCTACAGAATTGCTTGTGTATTTTCATAGCCAGTCCCGGTTCGCATTCTTATAAACGGTGAATACTGAAGTGTTGCATGATAATCTTTTTAATCTTGCATTAAAATAATGCTGAGAAGTTTTAAAGAGGGTGCCAAACTACTATTCTGACAACTTCACTTTGATAATTTAGTTCTGACAAGAGAAGTTGGTTATCGAGTCGAATAATCCTCTCCCGTGTCAGCGTTATCAGGGGAAGACTGGCAGAGTGATGTGGAGACACGAGTTGGAATGGCAGTGTTTATTTCTGTGAGGCAAACAGGGCTGTGTTCTCTGGCTGTCAAACACAGAAGCAGGACAAAGGTATCCTCAAGAGGTTGTGAATGTTAGCTACTTTTGGCTTAAGGGTGTCATGAGCTGACAAAGGCAGAGCAGGATGACCGAGTTAATCAGTTCTTTTAGGCAAATTCAGTTTGGGTTGGATTCCTTGGAGTAGAAAAAAAAAAGAAAGAAGGTTATTTTCTGACTTCATAAGGTACAGATTTGGGTCTGAATGCCTTGGCTATCTACAGGAAACATCCATGATTATGAAACAAATTGTTCATACAGCAGCAAAACAGGATTGCACACAGTTCAAATGAGAATTGTGTTACTTGTGGTAATGCAGCCACAAATAATTTATTCTCTACCAAGGATCTATTCATGATGATCCATAGCTGATTCATATAGATTTGAATTTAAAGGATATCATGCTGTTAGAAAATCAGAAATCAAAACTGATGTAACCTATCCTACCAGATCAAAACTCTGACTGCCATTCCAAATCATACCTCTTCAGCCCTATGTGTGTCAGCAGCAGGTCCCTCTCTGCCCTCCTGGTCCCAGGTAGAATTTCATCATCTGCATCATATTTCCCAAACTCTAGCCACCTTAATCTCTTGTTAAGGTAGCCAAGGTTGTCTTCACTTATTTCTTGGAAACAAAAGGAGAAGCTGTGTCTTTTCCCTGGGCTTATATGATGCTCCTGTTATTGCCACTGGAGAACTTTCTGAACGTCATCTCATTAACGGGGCAGATTCTGGGTATTTTTACAACCCCTCCATAAAATTTTTATTAATTTGCACTTCAGTCTTTAGGAGAAAAACAAAGAATAGACTTTGAGTGAAAGTAAGTAGCCATACCTATTCCCTCATGCTTCCTTTTTTGCTGATGCAGAAGACCAAAGCATACCCTTTCTGCCCATAGGGTGTAGCAAATAATTTAACTAAGTTATATCATCCACCTCTGTAATGAACTTTGGGAGCAATGAAACTCTAAGAAAAATGCTTCTTGCCTTTCCATCCAAGTGTTGTCCTACACAACAAACCTATTAAAGTTCTATTGTATTCATCAGGAATTTTCTTATATCATGGCTCACACTTAGAACGATCTTCAGAATTTTGGATTTGTGTTTCTTGCATCCATTTCAGTATACCAAAAGTTGTTAGAATTGTGTGTTGTCTAGATTTTAGCTACAAGTCTTCTGAATTATGAGTAAACAATGGAAGAATCAGTAGGTCTTCGTGGAGGAAACATTACATTGCCATGTGGGGAAGAAATTTTAAAAAATGCCAAACAAGAACATTTGAATTTTAAGACTTCTGGAAATTATGGCTGGGGAGGTGGGTATAACTAGAAAGACATCTCCTTACATGCCAGTGACTACTTTTCAAGACAATTGATGTAGTAACAAATACTAAGACCCAAGAAAGATGTAGTATTCTTGTCATCATTGCTATCGTTTTCATCATCGTGATCATCACTATCATCACTATTTTCAAAATTAAATCATCATATAGCCTACAATAAGTTTTAAAAGAAAATAAATTTAGGACAGTGTGACATATGTAGACCAGTTATGAAGCTGAAATACGAGAACCATGATTTCAATCACAAATGTAACTTTTATATATGATGCTGCTATTTTATTTACCTAAAAGGATAAATATATATTTTTTTTTAGTTCCAATATTATTGCTGTGCATTGAATTCCATGAAACTACCTTAAGATGAATTTTGGTACAAAATGTTAAAGATGTGTTTCATGTCTACACATTGACTTGAATATTAAACCAAAATTTTTTGCTTTAAGATACTGTTCATGTATTCCTTAGCTTATTCATGAGTTTAGTTATTATCTGTATCATCACCTTTGAAGAGATACTAGGAGTAAATTATCTGCTAGCTATCACAGTGCATTGGAAATGTTTGCCCATGTCTCTAAATGTGTTAATAGATGTCTGGCCTCAAATGATTTAATGCTGAGTAGCTCCAGCTTTTGGCTTACTAATGGGAAAAATTGTACTTTGTCATGGAGAATACATAGTCATTATGTGAATACACTGCTTATTGATACATTTAATACAAATTACAGTCTGTTGGGAATGTAATTCATATTCCTGATCCTTTCTTGACAAGACTCATATTCTGAGATGGTATGTGTTTAACTGTAACTATCTGTTCCCAAAAAATATGTGAGAAAAACCTCAGAAAAAAAGTTCTTATTTTTTAGTTCAGTAACTGTGAGTACCAGATCTTGAAGATCAATGCATTTGTTGTGAACGATGAGGTTAAAGGCATTATTCTAGCATTTGGGCTTATTTTGTTTGCATTCACACAAAGAGTTAATACTGGATTGTATAGCCCTTACATGTAGATTGTAGCAAAGCAATGATACAGCAAGTCAAATGCTTAGAGCTCTGGACTCATAGAACCGTTAAGGTTGGAAACAACCACCAAGATCATCAAGTTCAAACATTAATCCAGCACCACCACGTTCACCAGTAAACCATATTCTCAGCTGCCACATCCACATGCCCTTTAAATCCTTCCAGGGGTGGTGATTCCACCACTTCTGTTCGCAGCCTCTTCCAATGCCTGACAAGTCTTCCAGTGAAAAAGGTTTTTTCTAATATCTAATCTAAGCCTCCCCTGACACAGCTTGAGGCCATTAAGTCTGGCCCTGTCTCTTGTTACCTCAGAAAAGAGTCTGATCTCTCCTCCTTGAATGTTAGCATGCATGTGCATAATACACTAGGTACACTAGGTACCTAATGCCACAAACCTGCCATAGGACAGCTCTGCAGCTGCTCCTGTGGAGCATGGATGAAGCGAGCCCAGGATGTTTTAGGAAATCTTAGGAAATCTCCCCAAGCAGGAGTAAGATGTCCTTAAGAGTGCACATGCACTAACGTTGCACACTGTAAGGGTGAAGCATTCTGTGCTTGTATTGTAAACAGTGGTGGTAACAGATAATTGGAACTGGACCATTTGTATTATTAACAAGGCTGTCTGCCCATGGAAATATGAACACAAACAGGCAAAGTGATCAAGGAGCATCTCAGGTGATGTCCATACCAAAGGCACTAGCACAGGCATGTCCATAACTACTTCCTGTGCTTTTTCTGTGTCATGAAAATGTGTCATGTCATTGAGTATCCAGCTGGACATGGACACACTAAAACAAGGAATTAGTGTGTGGAAGTTGACTTCATAGTGGACAAGTCCTGCTGGGGTGCCACTGCCTATTCCAGGAGTCCAGAGGGCAGAGGTGCTCTGTGGTCCAACACTCTCCCCAGCTTCACCTCTTCTTTATTCCGTGAGCATAAAAGGAAGACACGGCACATAGTTGCATCTCTGCAATTTCTAAACATATAGATGTACAAATATCTTCATCTTTTGACTCCTTTCACTGCAATGTCACCTTAGTCTGATACTTCTGGCATTGCTCCCAAATGATTCTGCAAGAGAAGGGCATTATACTGTGATAGAGGTTTTGTTCTGCTAAGAATGAGACAGTTAAGCTCATCATCTTGCAGTTTAAGCATTGACAGTATGCCATGAAGAGCTGAATTTTGTATTATTTACCTGAGGGACACTATAAAAATTAGATTTTCAGTCACTTAAATTAAGAAACCAGACTGACTGAATAGCTGACTTATTTATTAATTCAGTAGCTTCATGTTTTCCTTTAATAATGATTCTTTTCTGTAAATTAAAGCAGATGAGAGGAATATCATAAATGTAAAATTAGTCTAATCCTATTGGATTTTAAGCTGTTCCAAGGCTGCAAGATAGAATTAAATCATTGATAGAAGACAAAAAAATAACTTGAGACTTTGATATTTCAAATAAATACAGTATTTTACGCACACTATCTGTAAAATAACTGGAGGCACAAAAGAACTATCCATAGAAAGCTATAGAATTCTGTTTTATAAATCAATTTATAAGCTAAGTCCATAATTTCACAATAAAAATATCCATGCCAGTGGATGTTAAAATTTAATTTTGTGATTTGATACAAACTGCATCTTGTAATATTCTGGAATTTTTTTTTTTTTTTCTGTACTGTGCTCCAAAGATATTTTCTCTCCCTTCAGGTTAAGAAATCAATTACAAGTTTATGAATACATTTTTGTCCTGGAGGGAAATGTAGAGTTGTTTCAGACAGAAGTCTCAGAACTCACTTGCATTCAAATTATTCACGAACCTTTTGCATCTGTAAGGGAAAGGAATTGTGCAAACAGTATTGTTTTTCTAGAAGTTTCAACATTTCTGTAACACTGAATGTTATGAAAATATATTGTTAGTATGCTAAGTAGCTAGAAAGTGTCATAATGTGGTAGTGTATAAATATCCCTTACCTTCATAGTTAATATTTTGTCACTGTATAATTTCACATTTCCATCAATTATAATTCACCTCGTAATAATAAAAATAGAAAAATTAAATAGAAATAATTCTGAAAAGTCTTATCTGAAAGTTGTTTTGAGCTCTGCTTTTCTAAATTCAGCTCTTCACTGATTGCTCCAGAACTCTCAAAATTAATATGTTTGTTTGAATAGTTCAAGCCATTTTAAAGTGCCTCTGTTCTCTGGTGTCAAAGGTA